TTGCGAGCCGAGCTTAGCAGAATGCCACTAAAGTCGCCAACCTAAGTGCAGAGTGGACGGAGAAGGTGGCCGAGCAAGAAACGAAGGTGGCCGAGTTGGAGAGAGCCAAGGGAGCTTGAGTGGCGTCTTTGGCGAGGGCGGCAGCGCTGGAGACATTATCCGCGTCCTTAGGTCTGAGCGGAAAACTGAGAGGGAGACGGCCACACTAAGAGAAGCACGGCTCGAGGAGCGGATTGGTGAACTTGATCGGGATGCTTCGAGCCTAGGAGATCGAGTTACGACTCTCGAGACCGAGAAGGCGCAGCTGTTGGCTCAGGTCTGCCCTCAAGAATTTGCCGCTGTCGCTGTACCCCCGCCGTTTGTACGAGCTATCGGTCCATGTTGAGGCCCAACGAGATATATATATATATATGGGTTTGTGGACGGCCGAGAGCGTTTCTGAGACCGCTTTCGAAGATGCTCGGGTCAAGGCACGTGAAGCTCGTCTTGCCTGTGGTTACGACCCTGCGACACCGGAGGCCAGTGGGGGTGCTGAGGTTAAAGACGGGCTTCCTTCCAATGATGACAATGCCGGAGAAGACGGTGGTGGAGATGAGGCCGAGTGAAATTTTTATAGCTTTCTGTACTTGGTTTAGTTTTTTTTTGTTCTTTTGTTGTTGCGGGGTGGAGCCCCCTTTTTTGGCTCTTTGTAAGATTTTTCTTTGAATGAAATGGTCGGTTCACCTTCGTTCGTATGTTTTTGGCTTTTCCTTCTCTTTTCCCTTTCGAATTTTTTGGATATTCTCGCAATAAGTACCTGACTTCTGGTAGTTGATCTGAGTGGGATCGAATTCGACTCGCTAGTTTGAACTCGACTTTGTTAACCCGAGCGGGGTTGAATCTCGTCTTGCAAATTTTTGAAGCCAGTTTTGACTTGTTAGTTCGAGCGAGGTCAAACTTCATCATCTTGCCAACTTGGGCGAGGTCACTTTGGACTTGTAAATTCGAGCGAGGTCGAATTTTTGTCTAGCCAATTTGGGCGAGGTTAGTTTTGATACGTTAGTTCGAGCGAGATCGAACTTCACTTTCGCGTGACGATGGTCGGGGCCTCATGGGCGTGAATTCGAACGAGGTCGAATTGTGACCCGTGATGAGTTCGAGCGAAGTTGAACATCGATTTGTTTACTTGCAGGGTCGAATTTTACTCACTTGGTGTCGGCCGGGGCCGTAAGGGTGTAGATTCGAGCGAGGTCGAAATTGTAACCCGCTGTGAGTTCGAGCGAGGTCAGACTTTCCCTTCGCTTGGCGATGGCCGATGGCCGTAAGGGTGTAAATTCGAGCGAGGTCGTATTGTTACCCATTATGGTTCGATCGAGGTCGAACATTAACTTTGTTGATTCGAGCAATGTCGAATTTTACTTTCATTTGGCGATGGCGATGTCCGTAAGGGTGTAAATTCGAGGAGGTCGAATTGTTACCCGTTATGGTTCGAGCGAGGTCGAACTTTAACTTTGCTGATCCGAACGAGGTCGAATTTTACTTTCATTTGGCGATGGTCGATGGCCGTAAGGGTGTAAATTCGACCGAGGTCAAATGTTACCCGTTATGGTTCGAGCGAGGTTGAACTTTAACTTTGCTGATTCGAACGAGGTCGAATGTTGCTTTCATTTGGCGATGGCCGATGGCCATAAGGGTGTAAATTCGAGCGAGGTCAAATTGTTACCCATTATGGTTCGAGGGAGGCTGAACTTTAACTTTGCTTGGCGACGTACGGGCTCGGTGAAATGGTGAGATTTGCCTGTTTCATTGCTTTTATTGGAGAATATTATTCGTTGCTGCATCATTTATGCGTGCGTCGGGGAGAGTCCCGGTTTATTTAATTTTGCTTTCACTGGAGAGTACTATGCATCGGGGTGAATCCCAGTCCATCTAGTTCCTTCATTAACAGGACGGGCGATGAATTCTGTTGCTCGTGCTGCTAGGCACCCTAGGACTTGATTACTTTGAATGAAGTTCGGGCGTGATATGTATTATTTAGCCAGCTTAACCGGCATAGGATTGCCATGACGAGTGTAAGTGCAAACTTTTTGCACTCATGTTCTGCCTGTGTTGGAGAGACTACGTTTCATGGGCTCACCGCCCAGTCCCAGGTTGTGGAGGTTTTTTCTTAATATCGTCGGCTTGTCCTGAGCCATTTGTCTGTTATTCGCAGTATGGTGCGGTGGGGAGGATTTTGCTCGACCGTTGCTTGAGAGACGATGTGGCACGAAACGTTTTCCTGGTGTGTTATTTTGGTGGCATTTGTCCCTCGTTCGCGCGCCTGGGAGAGTGCTCATGTTCCTGTCCCAATCCAGAAAAAGGGAAAAATAACAAGTTAAAACCAAACAAAATCGTCCGTTACCTTGACCTGATAGGCTGGCGAGGTGAGAGGGGCACTGTAGGACGACTCATTTAGTCCCATACTCGAACGGCAGTTTCAGATTTGGTAGCCCCGTGCTTAGCTCCGTTATTGGTCGAGTTTGGACTTCTTATGGACTGACAACTTACTTCGTCCGTTGGGATCTCGAGATCGAGTCCCGGTCCGATCCCGTCCGGGTGCACAAAAGTAAAGGAAACACAAGTTATATTCCGTACATACGGGTAGGACAAGCTTGTTATTTCAAAGAATCATACAACAGGCTATCGTCCTTTCCTAAGGGGGGGAGAGGGCAATGCGCATGAAGTATAGATCGGTATCCAATGTAAATATAGCAGATAGGATTGCGGACGTGCTCAATGCGTAGTGACCATGATCCACTTTGACAGCTCATACTCACAACGTGCCAAACCCATCACTTCAGCAAGACATGGATTTCGTGTAGATAGAAGACTTTGATTTCATGCAAAGATCTGACCAAGATTGATTTGGTTATTTCAAAAGCTTGCCTACGAATTTCTCAAGCTGGTGTCTGTAAATTAAAGGGCGAGGCTACGACAACCGGGAAGTGCAAACCTAGCTGACTTTAGATCTAGAGGAAACTAAAATTTTGGCTAGAAAGTTCCCACAGACGGCGCTAAATTGTTTGACCAAAAAGTGTTAAGCTTTTTGTTAAACTAATAAATAAGAAGATTTTAGGTAAATCCTAGCCAAAGATAATTTACCCTAGGTCTAAGATAGAGGATATAAGTAAGCAGACAAAGCAGGCATAAGATTTAACTATAATATTGATTAAATCTCATTATATAAGAAGAGGATGACGATTTTCATAACATTAGACAACAATGAAGAATACATAGATGAAAAGGGTCACCAATCTTTAACGAGGTGGAACCCCATACATTTGATATGATGAGACTAACAGTATATATTGAGGATCTGAGCTTCCTTGCTTCTTTCTCCTTCGTGGGAAGAGAGAGAGATGAAGATCCCTCCTCCTCTCAAAGAACATGTCTGTGTCTAGATTTCTTTCAGTCCCCCTCCCTTCTTCTTCTCCGTTAGTTTATATACTAGGTCTTCTCCTTTATCCAACAGTCATTGACCACAATACTTAAGTCGTTTGACTATATTACGGGTCGACCCCTTGAAATGCCGTAATATCCAATTCGCCGCTCAAGCGTTATGAATACATGACCTCGGCCGTGACCGAGGTGCGCGTCGTTATAGCTTTATATGGATATGACTGTCCAAGTAACTTTTCGCCGTCCCTTTCCACGCCGATTCTTGTCTTGGTCAGATTTTGACCCATACAACAGGTACGCACAAAGGATGAAGTTAAACGTGAGTTGAGAGCAAAATAGCAAGGCATTTTGCAAGCAATTCTTGTGTGATTCAAGTGTGCGAACTTGTAGCTACATGAACCAGATAGAAGAACCAGTTCCAAATGTCTGTCTTTTATTCTAGTTCAATTGTAGTAGGTGTTTTCAGTTTGTACCTTTCAACTTTATCTAGAAGCATTTGTATTCGGTACTCTGAGTATTCAAGTTAGAGTTAACTTGAAGTTGTTGCAACAGTTAGAGGCTGGTTGTCACAACGGGATTAGAGGTAATCCTTAGGTTTACAAAGAGTTCTGTAAATGCTATTTTGGCTCAGTGATTTAGTGAAATGTTGGGGAAAATCCTATTGAGTAGTAGGTCATGGTTTTTTCACCTTTTGAGCCGGGTATTTTTCACGTAAAAATACTTGTGTTCTTTACTTTCCGCATTTATTATTTCCGCACTAGTAGTATAAGGAACACATAGAAGAACCAGGTCCCTCTATAATCTGTGCACGCAAAAATTGGACAATACACAAATCACCCCCTCTTGTGTGGCATTAAAGTATAAAACATCAAGTACAAATACAAATATAAAAAAGACAGAGGGAGTATAGACATGTCACTCTGCTCAATCTCTTCCCATTCCAAAGCTCATATAACATTATCAACTCTTGTGTCTTAATTATGTGTTTTGCAAATGCTTTTAGCTTGAGCAGATATGATTAACTAAAGATATCAAGTAAAAAAGGCGTAAAAATGATTCATGAATATTTTCCTTTTTATTTTTCTCTTTTTTAGGTACATGTAATTTCAAAGGCAAAATTAATAAGCTTGGTAACGCTTGTTCCATATTGAAAAGAAAGCTGCATGAGTTGGCTAAAGCAATATTTAACCATATATATAATTACCATTAAGATATATTTCTTGCCTTGATTGCCCTAATATTTTTCTTAAACAATATTTATAAACCAAATAAAGTATACAATAATCTCCCATACTCATTCAACAATATCCTTTTCTGTAATAACCGTTACTTTTATTACTCCAATGATTATCATAATTCTATTTCAGAAAGCACCACGTATTATTATTCATTCTATTTCAGTTCAATCCATGATTTAATAAAAATAAAAATAAATCACTAGTGTCTATATCAGAAGCAACACAATTTGGATTTGGCTTGTACACTATAAACTTTCTATAAGAAGGTGATTTGTAGCTATAAATAACTGAATTTACATGCACAGGACTTAAACTGTTTTTTTTTTCTCATCAAAAGACAGAGAAATGGGGAAGGTATTTTCTGGGTAATTTTGAGAACATATAGAATATTTATCTGAATCTTATATGCAATTTCTTTGGTACTAATTAAAGAAAAATGAAAATTGCAGGGAAAACAGCAAACGGATCAACAAGAAAATAACAAAGAATGCAACAATGGCAATAAAATGGAAGAGAAGAAGAGCACAAATGAAGAAAATAAGAATAATGCAAAAGGGGTTATTATCATATTGGGTGTTTATATTCATTGTCAAGGTTGTAAAGAAGAAGTGCTTAAATCCCTTCGAGGCTTTGATGGTATATATATTTTAGAGCATTTCTTTTATAGTGTTTGATTCAGTTTGTGCGCACCTAGGTTAGTCTATTCGTTACCTCTCAGCAATATCGATATGAAGTAACTCTATCAGGACGTCGCGGGTTCGAGCCTTGGAAACAGCCTCTTGCAGAAATGCATGGTAAGGTTGTGTATAATAGATCATTATGGTTTGGCACTTCTCCAGACCCCGCACATAGTGGGAACTTAGTGCACCAAGCTGCCCTTTTTTTAATCCACTAATGCTTAGGAAGAAAGATTTAAGCAGTTTGAGAGAAATCGCGTAGAATTTTTTTGGTCTCTATTGAAATTTAAACTCTGATTTTTATGATTTTTCACACATTTATTGACCGTTAAACAACACCCTTGAGTGCATAATTTATGTTTTTTATTATATCTTGAACTTTTTTATTATATATTCAATCTTTTGGAGTATAATATAATTTTTTTTAGGATTTTTTACTTTTAACCAACGCCAGAAACTATTTATATTTAGTAGCCCAAAAAGTGTACAAAATTTGTATAATTTTTATATATAACATATATAATATATATATATATATATATATATATATATATATAAAATATACGTTTTTCGACTCTTATTTTGAGATGTCAGCTATACGATATCATTTTCCCATTTTTTTATCTCTCAAATTTAGGTGATAATCTTTTTATCTCTCAAATTTAGGTGTTGAGGAGATTGAGGTTGATGAAAAAAACCATAAGGTGGTGGTGAAAGGGAAAAAGGCAGATCCTTTGAAGGTGGCAGAGAGACTGAGAAAGAAGAGTGGTAAACATGTGGAACTAATATCTCCAATAATTCCACCTAAGAAGAAAGAAGAGAAGAAGGAAATAAAACAACAGGTGTAATTAAACTTTATAAATTTTTTAATTAAACATATTTTTTCAAGCCATTCTCTTATTCCTTTCTTATTAATACTTAATAATAAGGTGATTTTAATTTTTTAATTCTAATAACTAAAATCTTTATCATCTTTTTTCATTTACTTATTTATGTTTTGTCCCTTTTTCTTGGAATGCAGCCTAAGGTGGTTGAAGTAATTCTGAAATTATACTTACACTGTGAAGGATGTGCCAAAGATGCCAAGCAATGTATTCACAAAATGCCAGGTACATAATTCCCTGTAATTATCTATGAGTGGCTTTGCTGTGTGAATATCTTTCACACTGTGTCGTTATCTTGGTCTACATGTTGTTTATTACGCTTGTTTTCTTAATATTTTGTTGTTGCTACTGTTGTTTTATCTTTTCTTGAGTCGGGGGTCTATCGGAAACAGCCTCTCTATCCTCAAGGTAGGGGTAAGGTCTGCATACACACTACCCCCATGACCCCACTTGTAGGATTATACTGGTGTTTTTTGTTGCTGTTGTTGTTGTTGTTGTTGTTGTCATCGTCTCGTTACGTTCGACTTAAAATCTTGTTATTTTCTGTGGTGGATGAATGAGTAGGAGTTCAAACTGTGGATCCAGAGATGAAGAACAACCTTGTGAAAGTTAAAGGATCAATGGATCCTCAAAAATTGGTAGAATTCATCAGCAAAAGAGCAGGGAAACATGCTGAGATTGTCAAGTCCAGTAAAATAGACAAAGAACAGAAAAATGAAAAGCCAGAATCTGATAAAAATAAGGCAACTGATATTAAAAAGGATGGTTGCTCTTGCAAACATGAATATCCTTATCCACCTCAACTTGTTTATGCCCCTCAGCTTTTCAGTGATGAGAATCCTAATTCTTGCTCCATCTTGTGATCTTGTATGAACTTGTGATGAAGTTTCACAATATTTTACACTGAGTTTAACTTATAGTCCAGTCAAACCGCTGTATAACAGCCTTGTTTATTCCCATATTTTCTTTATAGTGAAATGCTGATATAGATGACATATATTATAACATAACATAAAAATCGATTCCAAAAAAAAACTTGGCTTTTATAGTGAATGGTTGTTATATAGAGATGTTGTTACAGAGAGCTCTGATTGGATACACCGACAGTGTCATGTCGTTCAAATGATATTTACGAGTAATCTTTCATAAGAGTGGGATACTTACTACAACTATTATGTCTTTATGCCAAGGAAGTTGGGATTGGTTAAATGAATCTTCACCATCTATATCGCTCTATTTCAGTCCAATATTACAAAATAATACTAAAAAATTTCTACAATTTCTAGTGGCGTATAAGTCTTCGACAAGACCAAAAAGCTCCTAGCAAGCACTGGATCTAAAGTAAACGTACCAACATGACTAAAACTTATAATCCTAACTATTTGAGGAGTCAGAGGTGCTATATTGCAGTCAAAACTAAGCAACAGATTCATATCATGCCCTACTTGAGGAGCACGACATAAGGCATGCTAATAAGAATCATCGTGTAATTGACATATGGTCGATAAAATATCTCACTGTTAGTTGATAAGATAAGATCATAGGAAATGTTTAGGCAAGGAGAGTATCCATCGGGCTGGGAGACAAGATATGAATTATCAAGGTTAACGAAAAACTACTGATGTATGCACGAAAAAGATACAATGATGTATTAATTCAAGTAACAATGTTGTAGATGTTTTCTGATATTAAAACAAGGAAAGCTTGTCTGATGAAGATATAGGTCATCTCCTGTCAAAATGATGTATCAGTTTCTAGTTTGAGAGGATTATATAGTCCTTGTTTACAATATGTTGTCATGTGAATATGCGGTTTAGTGTAGCAGCTAAGCGAACTCCACCTTGAGCTAGGCGCTGTTGGACTATGGGGAAACGCGTGAGGAAATAGTCATCTGCATTCCACCGATAAGCATTTCAACAGTTAAAAGACAGCGCATGAAGAAAATTATGTGCTACTAGAGGAAATGATCAGGCAATTTTGGCGAAATTTACCTTCTAATGTTGAACCTTCACTGACTCCTTTATATGCCCAGGCACAAGCAGCTTTGATACCTTCAGTTGCATATCTACAGGAAGCAACATGTTCTTTATTTCTTTATATATGATAGAGTTGTTGAAAAAATGTTGCTTCTATCTGATAACAGAGTTAAACATACATATCTGGACAGGTTTTCTTGTTACCACTGCAGCTCTCCCATGATTTTACTTGATCTGCCCATCCTGTCTGTTAAGACGAAATTCGTCACAAATACTAACAAACTGATAAAGTCGATTCAATTATGTATTCCGGTTGCTCTTTGTAGTGATTATAGGTGATTAAGTATTGATTGTTCTTTAGTTCCATTTCAGTAAGTTAGGAGCTATGTTGCTCGGATCCTCCAAAAATACGACTACACCTGTGTCGATGACACACACCTGGCGGTATTTTTGGAGGATACGAGCAACATAGGTTAGGAGGATCTGTTATACCGAGATGTTCTTCTGAAGTGCATCGACTAGTTCATCTACGTTAGAATCATCGTATCGTTCTTCTGCAGTTTCAATTATGTTGGAATCCCAGACCTGTCATTAGTTTGAGAAAAACTTCATGTGAAGGAAATTAAGTTATATGTTAAGGCAATTTAGCCAAGGCAAGAAAAGGCTTACATGATGTAGAACTGTTTTCCTAGTGTACCAATGAACATCTATTGTATTAGCTCCCCTATCTGATGTAAATCCAACATGCAGAGGCTGCATATGAAGATAAAAACTATGGCCTCAAATTGAAAATACTATTGTACTAACATATTTTGAAAAAAAAAAACTTATTTATTCAACACTTTACCTGATGAATGTCCCCCATAAAGTGAGAAAGGAAGAGAAGTGATTCTGTCAAATTATCTGATAATTACACAAAATATATAGTCAAAATGCAGTTAGTATTTACCTGATCTATGTTGAGCGGATTCTCCAAAATACTGCCATATCCGTGCCGGATTCTCCAAAACTTCACTGCTTTTGGAGAATCAGACACGCATCCGGTAACATTTCCGGAGTGTCCGAGCAACATTGCAATAGAAGAATGAAACAAGCAAGATCTAGTATAGAAACATTACATGTTATAGCATTTTCATTGGCACTGTTATAACTGAGGAGCTGTTCAGTGTAATTGTTGATTGCTCCAGCTACACATCTATCTGGAACTCCATTTTCATCTTTACAGTCCCCTGTATACAACAACAACGACTACGTATTAGTCCTAAATAAGTTGAAGTCGGATATATGATTCTCACAGATCATGTTTCTCAAATAAACTCATCTCGAACGATATTATACAATGAAAGGGCAACCCGATGTACTAAGCTATCGCTATGTGTCGGTCCGGACCACATTTGATTTTATGTACACAGTCTTGCCTTGCATTTCTGCAAGTGACTGTTTTGTGGCTAGAACATGTGACCTCCTGATTATAACAGCGTCAACTTTTACCGTTACCGAGGTTCCCTTTCGCCAATAGTGTACAATATGAAAATAAAAATAAAAAGTATTTCTACTAGCCTATATCCAAGGTATAGAAGGGGAGCCTTGGTGTAACTGATAAAGTTGTTGGCATATGACCAAGGAGGTCATGGGTTCGAGCCGTGGAAACGATCTCTTGCATAAATGCTGGGTAAGCTGCATACAATAGACCATTGTGGTCCGGCCCTTCCCTGGACCCCGCACATAGCTGGAGTTTAGTGCATTGGGCTGCCGTTTTTATATATACAAGTTATACAAAATGAGTAGTCCATAACTACATGCTATTAGTACTAGAAAAAGAATCAAATACTTACTGTTGTACTGGTAATTGCAGAGATTATCAGGGGTATCAATATAATGAAGAGCTGATGACCAATGATAACGAAACTTGACATGGTCTGCCCATATACACACACTTGCCAAATCACCATTTGCAGATGCTGGCAACAATTTCTCAACTGCATCTGCTGCAGCTTTACTCAATCTTGACTGTCACAAATAAACAAAACCAAAAGTAAGTTTAAAATTTCTATCTTAACCCCATCTCAAGAAATACAAGGAAAAAAATCAAGAATTGAATTTAAAAAAAATGCCCTTTTAACAGAGTAACATGCGGAACGGGACGACACAGGATGTAGAATCATAACATGAGTGATTCGACAGATTTGGATTCATATATAAGAAACATGGAGGGGTAAGTCATTGGTTTAAATCCGATAAGGGGCTATATATGTAAAACATTAGAACCTGAGCAATTTTGCAAACAGTGTAATGACCATCCAATCCCCATCCATGAACTACTGGAAAAAGAAACAAGAAAGCTACAATGGGCAATAACACATTAAGTTTTGAGTATTCCATTTTTTGCTACTCTCAAACTGAAAAATACCAAATTCACAAGCTACTTCTTTAGTCCTATATAAATAAACTAGGGAAATAACCAAAAGTGGTTGGTGTGAACTGTATGAATACATGAAAAAAAGATCAAGAAAAATTGAATGTTGCAATAAAGTTAGATACTGACATTTATTTCATGCATGCTAAAGGACAAGCTTGATTTTAGGAAATAAAGATCAATAAAGGCTAATGATTTGATGAATCTTGGTTCACATTTGGTTACTTGTTTTGTCAACTTTTTAGTATCATTATATTGAATTTTCTTTTGGTTTTAAAAGTTTAAAGATACTTTTATTAAACACTTTAAAGGAAGAAAAGAATGAAAAGGTTGCATGATTTGGTATTTGGTAATCGTGCTTGTAAAGGAAAGCAATTTAATTAGACATATATAGCGTAACGGCTCAAATTGGATTCTTTGTACTTTTTTTCCTGATTTTGCTTATTTAAATAATTTTATTTTTTATTATCATAAAGGGAAAAAACAGAATCTAAAAGAAGGATAATGGTGACATGCTCAATCTTGGAGTTTAATATGGGAAGGATATGAAGTTGTAACAGGAATTATTTACTTTTGCATTTTGAGTCCTCCATTTTTCAGAAAGTAAACCAGTTTTTATACTCACAAAATAATCATACTCCCACCCAATTAGTAATTTAAATTTAATTGTTTTCTTTCCAGGAAAATGAACATTGCACATGCTAATGAAGTCCCATAGGAATTTCTAGTTGTTTGCACGGAGGTCTAGATCTGAATCGTTCGGATGTCAGCTACTAAGGAACAAAAATGTTATTCAATGTCCATATAATTTATATATTTCAATTTCATAGAGCTTTTGTTATTTCACACATTGCATTAGAAAACAAACTAAAAAATTAAAAATTATTAAATTAATATGTGCCAAAATAAGCTTTGGGTCTCACTCACACCTTAAAAGCTAGCTCGAAGGGAAGAGGATTGCCGAAGCCTTAAAAGGAGGTCAGGATCTCATCCCGATTCGATGTGGGATTCATTCCATCCATCACCTCCCCCCTCATACCCAGATTTAGACATTCTTTATCTGGAATTCCACTGTGAGGTCTCGAGCATGTACAATCCTGGACCGAGGGTATTTCTACCCCCTCTTCAAGTGGCTGGGGAGCATTCCGCCTCTCTCTTCTAGGGGTCCACATTGACCACGGGCCTACTCTGATACTATGTCAAAATTAGCTTGGGGCCTAACTCCCAACCCAAAAGCTAGCTCGAAGAGAGCAGGATTGCCCAAGCCTTATATGGAGACCAGGGATCTCACCTCAATCTGACCTGGGATTCATTCCATTCATCAATGTGAATTAATGTGTTCAAATAAATCAGATCATAATTTGAAAAGATAAATAAATTCTTTAATGTTATTCTACGTGCGGGTCCGTTTCCAATAATAGTTTTCTACTTCTCTCAGAATACTTTTTAATGAAAATTGTTATAAAATTTTTAGTAAATGTGGATGTCCACTACTCCCACTATTTTCACCCATGATGTAAATAACCTCCCACTACTCATCACCATTATGATTGTAACTCCCACACCTCCATAACCCCTCCCCATGATCATCCCCCATGATCTCAATTGTTAATGTCATGTTTAAGACAATCATTTTGTAACATTCATATGTAATAATATAAATAGAGGCATGAAATGTGAGATGGAACACTTGAACACTTGATGAAATAAGAAAGTTATCTATTCTTCTCTTATTCTACTTATCTTCTTGTTTTATATTGTTACTTTGAGCTACATTTCT